AATTTATATGTAGCCAGCAGTTAATGCCGTGGCAAGCACATGCGCCACAACTCTTGCCAATTGTTTGTATGATGACGCAAAACGGGCTTTCAATTAAAATGCCAGCATCTGAGCTATATAAATATGTCATTATGAAGCGTTGGCCAGTGCAATTTCCACCAGCAGCTAATTATTAATTCCATTTTGTGTGGGTTACCTCCGTCAAAGGATTAAAAACCATTCAAGTATAAAATTGCACCAGTCAAAGAAGTCAATTGCAACAATGTCCCAGCCATGCATAACTGTGGGCGTGGCTGTGTCCCAGTAGTTGGGACACTAAGCCGATTAGTTGTATAAAAACAGAGCTCGCAAAACCGTTTCAATTGGAGCAAGTTTAACAAAAACAACTAAAAAAAAAAAGAATTTTGCCTAACAGATTATGGCAATTAGCTGGGCGAGTTACAAAACGAGCTTAGCTTAGTTTAAATACCGGTTACGTAGCGCACATGAGTGTAGGCGTGAGTGTGTGTGTGTGTGTGTCGATGTGTGTGTGCGTGGAGGCTGCATAAAACTTTGAAATTATTAACTTTTAACACAATAGAAATCCTTTTCAGCTAGGAGCAAAGCTTAAAACAAATCTAAGCCCTAGCTTAGATTTCTGGCCTTCAGTATGTACACAACAGTTGCACTTCCAAACATTGTGAACTTCAGCCTCGAAACACATAAGCTCCATAGGAAGAAGGAAGAATCGGTCGAGAACCCCGCTTTCTGTATCTTAAAATTCTATGATTTTCAAGATATTATTACCAAACGCATCAATTACTACACAATTCTCCTTAAATTTCTGTATTATCGTAAGACATATGCTAGTAAGGGTTTTCAAACTTCGGCACGCCGAAGAGAACTGCTCTTTCTAACATTGTTTTTTTAAACGACTTGCAGCCGTTCACCTTTTAAGCATGCTTCGATTTAATTATTCATTGACAGTATTTGTTATATAGCTATTTAGATAATACGACAAATGATCTTTATCTCGAAAAGTAACAGAGCTCATATCGAAAGCGACGTGGAATGTGGCCTGCATGAGGAACACTTGTGGACGTTACGCGTAATAAACATAGGTGAGCTGCCGAATAATAATATAAGAATACAAAGTTTAAACAATTAAGCATTGAAAGTCTGCAGCATTTTATTTAATATAAAAAAAAAATCGGAAATAGGCTATTAACAGCGCTTTTATATGTTAACAGGTTTAAAAATCGTACATATATAAAGCCTGCATACTTTTGTTCGTTTAAATTATTAAGCATTAGCTTCAAAAAAAAAACAACAGGTGGCGCATGTCCGCTAAACATATTTGATATGGTACATACTTTTGTGAGCAATAATATTTAAGCTGTCAAAGATACCACTGCATACTTTTGCGCTGGCACATAAAAAGCTATTTTACGCCCCACGGCTGAAAATTGACAAGTCCTGGATTCTTAGATAACACCCAAATGTTTTTATGGATATCCATGCAGTTGGTTCTTGTGTGCCCAGAGCACCATATTCTTTGAAATTCTGTAGAGTTGTGGTCGAGCTATAGCTATTTATACCAAAAGGATATCAATATTGAAATTCTGCCATAACTTGGCCATTTCAAGGACAATCAAGATGTCGTGCGGCTGACAGATGTTGCTGATCCCAACTATTCAAAATGTTGAAGGAAAAGGACGAACGTCCTTTCCTCCTTCACGATTTAGTCATATATGATTACAAAATATGTCAGCCCGTAGTTCTGCCGAATCCTTTCGGGTCCCGACGAATCCCGAATCAATTACCTTTTGTTGATTAGGCCTACTAACTGGCCAAAGGACATCCCGATAGTCCTAGTAGTTTCCGAAATATGCCTAATTTTCTAAAAAGGACATTCTAATTATGGCCATAGCTCGGCCATATCCTTAAGGATATCGAAAGGATATACTTTTTTGAACTCGTGAGGAACAGGACTATCGACTGGCATTCAAGGATTTCCAGGATTCGACCAAAAAAATTTTCTTCAATTTCTGTAAGGGGGTTAGTCAGAAAATCGAAAATTTCAGGACTAACTTCGCCATTTGAAGGACTATCGGGATGTCCTTTGGTCAGTAGATAGTCCTCATCCTACCATTAAAGAATATACAACCCGAAGGACGAATGTCCTTCAAACAACTGAGAAAAAAGGACTTTTTTGTAAACATAAAATAGCCTCTAACTCGGCTATATCCTTGAATATCCTGATGAGTCATGTGCCAAAAAAATTGTATTGGTCAGGTCTACCAACTGGCCAAAGGACATCAAAATCGTCCTTATAGTTCCGGAGATATTAGCGTTTTTGTCTGTAATGGCCATTTCCTTGCAATTCGGGACGGAAAAAATGACCAAGTGCAGGATTCTTAGATGACCCCATAATATTTTGATGCAGTTCGATGCGCTTGGTCCTTACGAGCCTAACGCACCATGTCCTTTGAAAATCCGTAAGGATATGGCCGAGTTCTGATGTTTTTTTTGTGAGGAATTTTTTGGGCAGTTAAGGTTAGTAATTCGAAAGAGTCGACATAGCTTCGCCGTTGATCTGCGCGAGATTATGTTATGTTAGAAAACAACTCTCGGGTAAAAAATGTCTGATTTTCGTTTTTAGAGCGGCGGAGATATGACGTTCCAAAACGACATAACTTCGCCTGGAGATATGACGTTCCAAAACGACATAACTTCGCCTGGAGATATGACGTTCCAAAACGACATAACTTCGCCTGGAGATATGACGTTCCAAAACGACATAACTTCGCCTGGAGATATGACGTTCCAAAGCGACATAACTCCGCGCGGAGGAATGACGTTCCAAAACGCCAAAAACAAATTGTGGCTGGAGAACAAGGTCAAAATATACAAGTGCATTTTAGCTCCCAGCCTATTCTATGCCATACAGATGTACGGTATTACTGCCAAGTCGCACCTGAATAAGATCCGTGTGCTACAAGCTAAGACCTTGAGGATGATCTCTGGGTCTCCATGGTACATAAGGACACGTAACATTTAGCGCGACCTTAAGGTGCCCAAAATAGGTGACAGAATTCAAGTGATTGCCCAAAAATACACGAAGAGGCTAGGAGCTCATCCAAACTGTTTAGCTAGACGCCTAAATACTGCCTATCACCGTACAAGAGTAAGGAGGAGACTCAAACGCCATCACCCTCAAGACCTCCTGAACCGGGTCTTGACATAAATATCTCATAATAAAATTTAGACGATCTCCTTATAAGTTATCTTTAATTCATTGTCATGTTCTATCTTGAATTATTTTGTTATTTTTAGTTTAATTTTCTGATTAGTTTAAGTTGCCTTGCAGGGTAGCAGCACACTTATCTTGTTAAATAAATTTCATTATTACCTTTATTAAAAAAAAAAAAAAAAAAAAATGCTATTTTGAGCAGAATTTATAAAAATCTTGAAAGCCGGTGATGCCCTCCAGATGCCCCTTTTGGGTATGCAATGTTTTTTTCAGCAAGCCACGCAAAAACTTTAACTTTGAATGCTTATAACTCGGCCATACAGAAATTGAAGAAATTTTTTTGGTCGTATCCTGGAAATCCTTGAATGCCAGTCGATAGTCCTGATCCTCCCGAGTTCAAAAAGGTATATCCTTTCGATATCCTTAAGGATATGGCCGAGTTATGGCCATAAGTAAAATGTCCTTTTTAGAAAAACAGGCATATCACGGAAACTACAAGGACTATCGGAGTGTTCTTTGGTCAGTTGATAGTCCTGGACAATACGCGTTGTATGATATAGGATATGCAAGGATTTTTAAAAAAATATGTGCTATTTTCTGCTGCTTCTATATATTTTAAATGGGCGGGATGCGGAATATCCTTCAAAGTAATGGCCGATTTTAGAATTAATGTCCTGTTTCAAAAATAACCATAGATCAACCAAATCCTTGCATATCCTTCCATTTGTTGACACTAAGGACCGCTTGCATCGATCTGTAACAAAAAGTGTCCTGAAAGAAAAAGCATATATGTTTCTGGAGCATTTCCGTACAACTTTTGCAGGGTCCTGTAGGTTCGTTAGGACTATATCTATGGCATGGCATAACCAAGGATACGGCGGTCAACTAGGAACCAATCAGGGGGAGGCATTTCTGCTGGTGGAGGCTGAAAAAATTATTTAGATTCACCAGGACTATATCCGTGACATGGAGTAACCAGGGATATATAAGTCAACTAGGAACCATAAGGCTGCGATATGCGAATCGCAGTGCATTTTGTTGGCGTTTACTATTTCACATTTTAAGGACTTAAACTAAAAGTTGTACAGGCAAAAGTGAACCTAACCTAATGCTTTTATTTACGGGAACCCTTTCGTATACTTCGCTGAGCTATTGTTTTAGGCAGCAACAAATTGGATTTTATTGGCAATTTGTTTGTTTTTAATTCAGTCTAGCGACCTTTTTTTACAAATTAGTTGGCTAAGCTGGGAGACGAAAAGGATTTCGCCACGCAAAAAGGTCTCTCGCATGGACCCCAACGAAAGTCCTGATAATTTGTGCAATTTAAGTAAAAGCCTGCTTTGCCTGCTGCTTGAATATTTACACTTTGCTTCCTACTTTCATTTCGTCCTTCAGCAGGATGCCGCACGTAAGCTCTTTCATAAGGCAACCGTTCGTTGCAAATTGTGTTTACGCCGCGCCGCGTACATCATTTAACTTAAGCTGCCTGTCGGTGCGATTTTTAAATACAAATTGCGCGGTCAGCCGCCGCATTAATTGCTGCCTATTTATATGGCTGACTGACGTTAGCTTTCATTTATGCGTATGTTGCGTGCATTAAGTGCAATTAAAACTGCACATGATGTGCTATTAAATACCCTATACATAACTAAATATCTTTCTAGAAGAGTTGTGGCTGATAGACTACTTAATATATTACATATTTCTTAATTCTATGGGGCTTGGGTACAGGGTATCAGCTAGTCGCGCATTGCTTGCAATCACAATCAATTTTACAATAATTTCAGGTTTTCTTTGTTTATATTTGTGAGTGCATTATTAGAATATCTTTTGGTTTCTACATTTATCTTATGTGTTAGGCTTTGTTAGGTGCCAAGATCTTAGACTTAGTTTAGCTTTAGCTGCGCGACTAAAGCCTTAAGCTATATAGACTCCTTTTGTATCCTTGGATTGAATTTGTTTTAGTTGCCTTCCTCTGCTGGACATACTAAAAGCGAATCTTCCTCGGGTGCTTAACTCTATACATATATATATACATGCCTACGACTTAATCTACAAATGCATCTTTGGTCCAAACGGTTCTCGTTTTTTGGGGGATTTCCTCTCTCGCTCTCTTCTTGTCCTTTCTTCTCCTATGTACAACGCGCACGGCTCCACTGGAGCCGGCGCTACAAGTAGACAAAGTGGCCCAGACCTTTGGCCGGATTGTTGTTAACCGCTTCCGCTGCAAGTTTCGCTGCTGCAGCTGGAGTTGTTGTTGTTGTTGTGGTTGTTGTGGCTGCTGCATTGCCATTGACATCCAGGTTGTCCACCTCGGCGACGGGTAGCAGGCGGCTGTAGATGCCAGCAGGCGCATAGCGTGCATTCATATGTATGTCTAGCAGCTTCTTGTCCTTGCCCAGCGAGGAGAACGAGTGCGTCGCGGTGCGTATTTCGCGTATGTTGTACACGGGGCTGTAGGCGCGAGCGGGCGGCGAGGCGTTGCCATTGCTTTGAGCGCTGGCCCCAGCAGCGGAGGGTGTGGTAGCAGGCGTGTGGCGCTGAAAGAAGTCGCGACGCAGCGTGCACTCGGTGGAGTTGTCTGATGAGCCGGAACTGCTGGCGCACTCATCGTCCTCGGCATCCTCGCTGCTGCTGCTGCAGCTGCGCAGATCCTCGGCCGGCTCCGAGTCCAGCGACAGCTCCAGTAGGCTAATTGCATCTGCATCCTCGACCGCAGCAGCGGGAACGCCCGTCGCAGCGCTCTCGTAGCTCTGGCTGATGGCCTCGTTCAGATTGGCCAGCAGCTGGCGACGGCGCGCATAGTTGGGCGTGCGCCGCACCAAAAAGTGACAGCTCTCGCCGCGCCTCAGGCGCTCCGATTGGGCGCGCAGCGGCAGATCGTCCGGATGCAGCTTGCGCTGGCATTCCTGGCCCGGGCACACCTCGTACAGGGCAAAGTTCTCGACGGGCTCCAGCGAGCTGTAGCAGCCGAGCAGCAGCTGTAGCAGCTCATCGCAGTTGGTCTCTTCGCTGATGACCAGCGATTTGTACTGTGAGCTCGGCTGCAGCGCCGAGGTGTGCACCCGTATTAGGCCGCCCGGCTTCAGCTGCAGGCAGAAGCGCGACTCGCCCTTGGGATGGCAGGCCTGGAGTATGGCCGGGCGCGTGTCCTCGTCCAGCACCAGTATGGTCTTCACGCCCGCACGCCGCACGGCCACCTCCATGGAGAGATAGAAGAGGCGAGGATCGCGATGCCGCATCTTCAGGCTGCAAGGAGCAGGACAAATCATTTAATGGCCGCAATTTCGGAAACTAGTTCTCCGTTCACACTTACCGTCGCAGCAGCTGGGCAATCACCTCCTTGCTGGTGGTGTCCCACTGTATGCCCAGTGTCTTGTACTCAATGTCGATCTTCAGGCAGTTCGTGTAAACCTTGATGGTGGTCTGTGGGGGGAAAGAAGCGAGACCTGCATTAGTCTCGGCCAGGGGCAGGCTGGTCAATTCGAATGCACTCACCTGCGGCGGCTGCTCATTCAGGCTCGAGTAGCTGGAGGCGCGCGATGGCGTTCGCTGCATATCGGTGGGCGGTTCCGGACTGCCGCACATGGAGCTGGCGCAGGATGAGGCGTTGCTCGAGGAGCGCAGCGAAACCGAATCCGAGCGATTGCGCAACGGCGAGATTTGAACGTGCTTCAGCATCTGCAAGAGAAGAAGCAAAAGGGAGCTCAGTTAGGATTTGAATTACATTAAGAGAAGAATTATTCTGATTAAAACGATCAACTTATTGAGGAAGAGGGAGAAGACATATTTACTTGTTTAGTAAATGGTTAAGTTATTCGAATAAAATTAAGACATTATTACAGAATGCAAAGCAAAGATTTGTTCAGGAACTACTCCATAATATTTGTTCATTTGAACTAGTTCACAAGCGTAACTAGCAGTTCTATGAACTTAAAGCGTAAGCAGTGCAACAAAAATGAAAGAATTAACCCGCAATAGAATTAGGTTTTGCTTTTGATGTAATGCAAATCTGCTCGGTAGCTAAGCGAATCGGCTGAGCTGTAAGCCTTTTGGCTGCCCTCTTACAACAAGTGCGTGTGTGTGTGTATGTGTGCCATATGCTAGCCCAGACATCGTCCCATATATATATATATATACAAATGTATATATAACTCAGTCAGTTTCGCCCTGTCAAATGAGGCACTTGAAGCCCAGCGATGCGGCTCGGGGAGTCTGCCTGCCGCGCTGACCCTCGCGAATTTGCAACATTTGCCGCTAATTGCGGGGTCAGTGCAGGCGAGGGGCAGCATGAAGAGCGGGAAGGCAGTTGCTACCCAGTCACCATGCATCCCATGTCGTATCATGTTCCATTGCTTGAGTGCCTCCCGCTTGGATCTCGCGCTGCGTTCGTTGCGGTTCACTTGCTGCTCCACTTGCAGCACTTGCAGCAGCAGGGGGAGGCTGCGTGGACTCTGCTGCTAGCCGGCATATTCTAATTAATCGTCTGAAAGTCGCGCATCTTACTCTTCTTCATATTTAATAGTTGTAGCCATTTTAATTAAGGCTGAGCCCAGCGCCGCGCTCCTGATTAATGCAGATAATTGAGCTCTCGGAAAACAGAATATGTTTTGTGAATATGCACATATATTTTTGCCATATGCTGCGCTCGCATTGAGGCAATTAGCAGATGCCCACACACAGACAGAGAGCGAGCGGGCGGGGAGAGAGTTTGCGGAGTGCGGGGTGGGGGAGCTGACCGGATGTTGTTGGCCCGTTGGCAACTTCCGCTCAGCACGAGCATTTACAATGCGGCACGCCTCGCTCTGGGGCCCGCTCTGGAGCGCACTTGCATTCAATCAGCTTGTCAGCCCTGATGTATGTGCGCTCTAGGCCAAGCCCTCGGCTGTATATCTATCCCCCCCCCCCAAACACACACACCCTCTTCCCCACTCTCCACCCACTTACCACTCTGCAGTTCGCTTTCATGGCTCATTGTCAGCGCGTCGCGTTCCATGACGTGCCCAGCCGTGCCCTTTTCATAATTTCAATACATCACCAATTCAGGCGCCCGCACACACACACGCACACACACACACACACACACACACACACACACACACACACACACACACACACACGCACACAGCTGAGGGCTCTTCAGCTCGTCCGTCCGTCCGCCTGTCTGTTCTTGTGTGTGCCCCCAACCCCTGCCCTGTCTTGTTGCATGCTTCACTGCCGCAGCATTTGTCAAGCAGCAGCGATTTTCAACCCTGTCGGCGATGCTCCTCTTTAAAAGAGGCAAGGTAGGCAGGGCTGGGGCCCACATTTCTGCCCAATTCGCCTCAATGAGCCGGATGTGGCAACTTCATTAGCGATTAACAGTTTGGCAAGGTTAGAGTTACAGTTTAACAAGCACTGCCAGAAAGCGGGCGCAAAAAGCGCAGCATAATAAATTGAAGATGCAGCCAGAATGGGCTCTCCCAGAAGGGGAGCGGGGAGACGCACAGCAGAGGTAGCCAGGGGGAAGTAGAGGGGAGTTGCGAATTGAAATGCAAATCAAACAAATTAACTTTTCACACAAGTCCAAAAGTTGGGCGCAAAAAAAAACGGAAGAAAATTGTAATAAATAAGCGAGCAGAGCAGAAAAAACAAGACGCGCACACCGACTGGCAGATACTCTGTAGGCACTAGCAGCTAGAGATGTCAACATATTGATAACATTATCGATATAAAGCATTTACAAATCTTTTAAAAATTTTAATTGTTTCTTAAATATAATTTTTTTTTTTTTTAGTTTTATTTGCCCCAATTAAGTTGTTAACTGATGAATGTATTCGATTTTCTTTTGACTATCACAGAGTAAGTATAAAACTATGCAAGATGACAGACAAGTCCATATACCCTCTTACTCATTTGACAACAGGGTATATGAAATAAGCCAAGAGCAATGCAGAAAAAAATATCGTTAAAATGAAATTGAATTAGAAAAAACGCATAAAATTTGAATGCACGCACGTGTTGGCCCATAAAACAGCTTCGGGCTAGAAAAAAGAGAGCGAGAGCTTGAGAAAAGTCAGCATAGAAGAAGAAGACCGAACGACTGCAAATATACTTAGTAGATAATCAGCCTGAAAGTTGACTGAAAACTCGCATTGAACTTTAATTGGCGCATTGTGAATAATTTTACGGCCAAGTCTAGCGATAATAATGCCCAACTTTGCCAATTACGCAAATGATAACGATAACGATAACGATGACAATAACACGCTAGCCGAGCGCACTTGTTCTCTCACATGAGCTCAAATTGGGCTGTTTTAACCAACACAGCGCCGGCACAGTGTTGCAAAAGACGCATAAATTGCGAGAGGTATAACGACAGGAGAAGGTAAGAAATGGCGAGAACTGCATGAGAGAAAGAGACTTGTTACCACAGGCAACAGCACTGCAGAGAGCAGAGGATAGAGTAGGTAGATACCCTGTAATTTTGAGTGATCACATGTGTATTTGTGTCTATCGGTTAGCTAAACTAAACTTAATTTCTAGGGTATAAGATGTACCCGTACCTCTTGTAGTTCCTGAGCTCAATTTGGGCACAGGGCACAGATACCCTGCATTTTTAAAATATAGTGAAATACAAGACGACATCATAAGTCATTGTCTTAAAACTACTGAACAGCGCTGAGATTTATCACGAAATTAAAATACATTCAATTTCTGGGGTGTATGAGGTACTGCGCAAAGATACCTTGCAATTTTGAATAAATTTAATTTCTAGGGTATAAGAAACTCACATACTTAATTTAGTACAGCTAGCTTTTTTACTTCTGTATAAGACCAATGCGTTCCTGTTACTACTGAACGCGGCTGAGATATAACGTTCAATTGAATTTCTAGGGTATGAGAGACACACATACCAAACTTAATATAACTAGCTCTTGTACGTCTTGGGGACTGGGCACAGAGCAAATAAAATGATTTAACTCCAGCAGTTATTATTGATTAAGAACTGACAAACTTGTATACCCCGCATTAACTATTTTCTACAGGGTATCTAAAAAATGTCGTATGGACCAACAGAGCAGTGCAATTGCCCGGCCAAGTCGCTTAGCAAAGGCGACTGGCAAACAAAGACAAACTTGCAGATTTTGTGTGTTTGTCGAACTCTAGAGTCCCGCCCCGAAACTCATCGAGACGAAAGTCGAACGTCGTTGCCTCTGCTCAGGAATGTTTTAATTTGAAGTTTTGGCTCGAGCGGCACACCCACACACACACACACGCCCCGCTGCGATTTATCAGCGAATGGTGTGATAAGGGCGCCAGCTGTGACATTTACGACTGGCGCATGTCCTTGAACCGACTCCTGTTGCTGTTGCTACTTGGCTACAAAAAACGAAAGAAGCCAAAATAGCAGTAGAAGAAAAGTAAATCAAGAACTGATTTTCGTACTTGGCGCGGCGGCAACTTGGTGACTCGTTGGCTTGTGGGCTTGTGGGCTTGTCAAAGCGCCGCCATCGAGGGCATCCTTTATCATTTGCACACACTCTCTCGCAGGGCAATGTCACCGCCTTATTGATTGAATAACCAGAAAACGCAACAGTAACAGAAAGAGAAGCCGAAACCGAATCCGCAATACCCAAACTAAAGGCAGCGGCAGGAGCCTAGCCGTAAAGCCGTAGCTAAATATTTTCATGGTCAGCAGAGCAGAAAAAAAACGGACCTTCATCATGGAGAGAACAGCAATAAGAGAAACAAGTGGAAAAAAAGGGATTGCAAATACTTCTTGCTGTTGTTGCAAGACAGACACCAGCCTCGCCAGTTGTTACTTAAATCTAAAGCGTTTCCACATTTTAACGCACATTGTTGCAGGCCACGCCCCGCGTAGGCGTTTACACGAAAACACACTTTAAGACTTTGTCTTCCTCTTTTCGCATATGCCTCAATGGGTTGAGCCTGATAAGATTCTGTTGTCCTTTATTAATCAGCGACTGTGCAACCAACAGAGAGCGTATATGACGAGCCGAGCTTAACAAAAGGCAGCATCTTTGACATAGACATCGTCTCTATTCTTTCAGGGGACGTTTCCATTTCCCGAGCATTGGTGGCCACCAAAACACATTTTTCGAATATTTTTGGAACAAATGAAAAAGCCCAAAAGCAAATGAGAAACAACAGAAATCGTGTGGGTAGCAAGGAATTCAGCAAGGGTTGCACAAAATACATTTAGATATTTATGCTACACAAAGATGTTGCTTAACAGATATTACGCAGGGCATAGATTACAGTCTAGTTGTATAATTAAATTAAAGAAATCAAATGCCTGCATTCTTTTCAACTCAACTAAAACTCAAATTCATATTGTCATAAACATTTCTGCTTATATTATTATCAAGCTTTACAGAGTATACCCCAGTTTAGTTAAGCATTGTAAGGGTTCTCTTCTTTTTTTCATTAATCCAACCCAAATGAGCAAATTCATGAACCGTTTAACTTTGCGGATTTCGCTTGCATTCTACGAATAAGTTTGGCGAAAAACCTTGCCACAAGCATTTTCCTATGCGCAGAATAGCTGAAAAGCCGAATCTGTATGTATTTAAAAACAAAGAGACTTGCATAAATTAAGCGTAAAGCGAAACATCAGAAATCACTCAACTAAGAATGCAAAGAAACTGAAAAATTAACGAAAAAGCAAAGAATAAATG